AATAAAAAATATTATTTTAAAAATCTTTTAGGGGCGGCAATAGCTTCCATTGCTATTCTTCCTTTACCCCCTCCCCTCCCCTTGGATCCGCTTTTGACAAGATTTTCGGTCAACAGGTTTCTTGTAACAGAATCTCATTGAAAACTAAAATCTTGAAGTTTGCATACCATTTTTGTGGAAATGTTTTTAAAACATTGTTTCTGAGAAGCTACTTTGATACATTGTTTAGAAATATTGTAAATGTTTTTGAAATATTGTATGCAACCGCTAATTTCGTAAACAAATTATTTTTTTACCAAAATTAATGTATAATGAAATCTTAAAGTTAAAAATAATTAATTAATTGAAAAAGCGTTCATTAAGACATTTACCGCATTTTTATTCGAAATTTATCGAATTCATTTTATTCGAATGTTATCTCTTAGGTTGATGCTCTCTCAGCATCAATCGTAGATTATAGTGATTCAAAGAGAAGCTGAATACAAAATTTAATTATATTTCAGAATTACCACTCCCTGTAGCAACTTCAACATCAACACTTGGTGCAGTTACATCTGAAGATGTCCCAAAAAAAGATTAAAAATCTTAAACTCAAGACATCCTAAAATCGTCATCCTAAAGTCCTATTATTGTTCACCTAACTAACCCATCATTTAATTCTAGAGTTCTCCCAGCCTCGTGCAATGTTGCCCAAATAAATATCAATTCCTAAGCACCCAGGCCTAACTGATAGCCCTCCAATCTATGCTATATCAAATTTGAACACTATTTCATAATTTCTTGAAAGGTTTGCTTTATTTAGACTTCTACTGTATGTAACTTTGTTTGTAAATATCAATCTTATACACTCTGGTTTCAGACTCTTCCAGCCCATTTTTTTTTCCAGGTTAGTTTCCTCCATACAATCGAATATAATCATCATCAATATGTTGATGAAACTCAACTAAGTACTGTCATGAGGTCAGATGACAACATAAAGAAGAATAATAATAATAATATATAATGTGACAATTGATGAAATTGTAGAGCACAATAACAGAAGATGTTGTGTTGTAACAGCTATAAATGTTCTTATAACAACATTGTTTATTTTTTAATGTAAATAACTGTTATTTAGTCTTATTTAATAAATACTTTTTGCAATAATTTGATTTATCAAGTTTCTTTTTGAATTGATTAATTGTTTTGGTTCTAAAATGTATGGCGGTAAACCATTCCAAGCTTCTACAACTCAACATAAAAAGAATTTAAATCTAGCATTACTCGTACAGTATGTCTTTGTTAAACACACAAAAAATTGTACTGTTTTAATTGAGCTTTACATATTGAGTCGTTTATCCAATTAATCTCCTTATTACGTTTTTGTATTTTATATTGAAAAATTAAATCTCCTCGTAAACGACGCTCTTCTTGTTGTTAATTTCATATACTGTAATCTTCTTTCATATGGCATTTTTTTTAAAGCTTGAACTAGCTTTTTTCTTTGTACTTTTTCTAACTTTAAAATGCTTTTTTTAGATAAGGACACCATGCTTGAATAGCAAACTCAAAATATGGTCTTACAAAAGTTTGAATAAGTTATACATGGATTTTTTTTACGAATATACACATCAACCATGAAACCCAAGCCGGTAGAGACGTTAGTATATTTATTTACAATTAAATTTGTTCCACGTAATGAGCTTGGTGTTTCTGAAAAAGAGTGTGAGTTATTAGGTATAGAAATAATAAATAAAAAAATTATAAAAACGTTGTTGTTAATGTTACATATAAAATGTATTTCCGATAGATATTTGAAAAAACATAAAATTTTATTACGTACTTTTCTCAAAAAAGTAAACAAGTTTACTTATTAGGTTCTCTCGGAATACTCATTCCATCTATAACTAAACCAACATGAATTACTAAAAACTTTTCTTCTTTGCTTGATTTCATAATAACTAAAAACTTTGTTAACAGCTTTTATAACACAGGAAGGGGAATGTCGGGTGGCCCCGGACAACGGGTGACTCCGGACACTTAATGTACAGCTTAAACTAAAGAAGCAATGTGATTTTAAATGCTCTAAAAACATTATTTGAGTGAAAATATAGCATATGCAAAATACCATAGTAACCAAATTGATTGGCTAGAAGTGCAAAATATTTTTTCCTACCACCAGACGAGCGATGTATTATCATATTTGATTCACATATTAATATACCAAATTTTTATGTAAACTAATAACTTTTTATTAAAGATACTTACAATAGTTATTTAAAAAAAATTCGTTTCATACTTCACTGGTATTTGTGAATGAGGTATGACCGAGTAGTATCAGACATCCGTTTACATATTGAAAATGAGCACCCTTTTTATGTTAATATTAATAAATTTAATATAATACACAAACCCATAATAGTAATTCACTTAATTACAATAAAAAGACCTTAGATTTGAAACAAGTGTTTTTAAAGTGTTTATTTTCATTAGCAAAAAGCTAAAGCTAATATTTCTAAATGATGACATTTTCATTCCCATTCCTTATAAATCCGAAGCAATTTTAAAAGGCGATTTTTTTTTTAATGTGTTGAGAACAGTCCGATGCTTAATGATTACACAGTATATTTGCAACACACTGGTAAAAAAAGGTAAAACCATGGTTAAAAACCGTCCAATTTTGAAACATGCCTTTTTTCTAACATTTATTGTTTTATGTTTTGTATAATATTAAGGTAATCAATTATTATTTGTTTGTTTCTAATTCGATAGATATATGTTTATATTTTTTAAAAAGTCTTTTGACACTTTGTTTTCTGTTAGTACATGTGTGCAATCTATTTTTTCCTTAAGTGTCCGAGGCTACCCGGCTTTCCCCTATAATAAAGACTGTTTTACCGAAACATTTTCCAATATTTTTGAATACAAAACAAAATTGCAACAAATATTGTACCTTCAAATTGTACTATTTACGCAAAATAAATTAAAAATGCAAATTTCGCTATTTTCTTATCAACATCATTGATTGGGATCTCATTCAATAATGTTGATAAGAAAATTGCAAGTGCAACACCAATTTTAAAATCTAAAGACGAATCTCACTCTTCTAATAACTGAACTTAATCCGTCTTGTCTTGTTTTTTCTTTGTCTTGTTTTTTCAAGCCGATAGAGCAGATAATGTAGACTAAATAGCTACTTAAAACCTGAAAACAATTTTACAGCAAACAGTTTGACTTTTAAACAAAATATTTGTCCAATTGATTTATCTAAGTTTAAATAAATCAATAGCTGATTAACACATTCTTATCAATAAAAAAGTGTAAATTTTCTTTGGTTTATAAATTACTTGTCAAACAGAGACATCAAAAAAACTTTTAATAATGGCGTTTCTAAAGCCTCAATTTTAGAACCACTGCTATTCCTAATACACAACAATCATTAACACTTTGAATCTGTTGAAATTATTCTAATTGCAAATGAATCTAATCATATTTATTCTCATAAAAATGTCAAAACACTTTTTGAAATAGTAAACAAAAAATTAAAAAAATTAAATGAATGGTTAACATGCAATAAAATACTTTTGAATCACATTAAAAATAAAATTCTCATTATTTCATAAGCTGATTAAGACAAAATTTGTCCCTTTTAAGCTGCCCCGCTATTCATAAGTAAAACTTATATTAAAGTATGTGTTTTTTAAGGATTTTAGTGAAATTGTGGAAATCTCATATCAACTTAGTAATAAAAAAGTTTGAAAAAAAACTGCTATTTTAATAGAGTTAAATCATTTCTAAATATAAATTCCCTAAAAAGTCCGAAGTTTTTATGCAAAGCCAAGTAACCTATAGCAACAGATTTAGGGCTTAAACAGATCATAATAGATTAATCAAACTATATAGCAAATGAAAATATGCCTGCCGAATTGTGCTTGGACTCAATAAAACAATTCCTTGTAAAGTTTACAAGGAATTGTTTTATTGAATTTTTTCAAGCAAATGTGTTTGTATATTATTTCAACAAAAAATGTCCGCAAATTCGAATAGAGTAAGAACATAGTTTTGAATAAGATTTTTGGTATTTATGATTAATTTCTGTAAATAAGAATAAAATATTTTAGCAGACATTCCATATTTTGTTTTATACATAAACTTGAAGAAAAGATGAATGTTTAGTTTAAAAATATTAAGTTAAATCTGCACCTAATAAAAAAAAATTAAACTAAACATTCATCTTTTCTTCAAGTTTATGTATAAAACAAAATATGGAATGTCTGCTAAAATATTTTATTCTTATTTACAGTAATTAATCATAAATACCAAAAATCTTATTCAAAACTATGTTCTTACTCTATTCGAATTTGCGGACATTTTTTGTTGAAATAATATACAAACACATTTGCTTGAAAAAATTCTTCTCAGCAATTTATAACTGAATGTAATCAATACAATACATATAAAAAAAGTTACTTTTATTAGATAATGCAGTACTTTTTTTATATTTATTTCGATTTTCTTCTTTAATTTTTAACAAAAGCGAGCACGCCTCTATAATATATGAGAGAAGCATTTTGCGTATGCATACGCAATTGCATGTGCACGCAATGCATGTGCACGTATTGTATGTGCACGCAATATGCCTATAATATTACTTATGCATACTTAGTATTTACTCAGTTGCGTATGCATACGCAACTGAGCAACTGATCCAAATATGCAACCGGCTAGCAATCCGGCTTCGAGATATTTAAAAGCACTGCCTTTCCGGAACTGGCATTTAAACCTTTTTATACACATACTCGATCCAGTTTACCAATTTACGTTGTTTTTAAAATTTCATTATTCGCGATCCAGAAATTTCTAGTATACTGGTTGAAAAAGCATATTGAGAAAGTTATTCAGATTTTAAAAACATAATTTTAAAGTAGCAAAATATCTGAACTTGTCTCATTTGATTACCAGCAATGTTTTCTAGTTCTTTGTTTCGCGATGATCCTTTTTTCAGGTCAGTATGCTATAAAATTTCTTTAAACATAGTAATATAATCAAAATATTTTTATTTTGTAGGTGATATAAAAAGTGCTTTATATTGCTTATTATGTTTATATATATATATATATATATATATATATATATATATATATATATATATATATATATATATATATATATATATATATATATATATATATATATATATATATATATATATATATATATATATATATATATATATATATATATATATATATATATATATATATATATATATATATATATATATATATATATATATATATATATATATATATATATATATATATATATATATATATATATAATATATATATATATAATATATACATATATATATGTATATATAATATATACATACATATATATATATATATATATATATATATATATATATATATATATATATATATATATATATATATATATATATGTATAAATGTTTCATACTCTGCAATCTCAATTTCAAGCACAAAGAACTACTACTAAACTAATCAAGATTTTATCGCCGTCAAAAAATAGTAAATTTGCAACTTAAATTCTATCTATAATTTCAAGTTTTTTTCTGCAAAAAATAAAATATAACCTATTTTATTATAATATAGCATTTTATATCATTTGATATCACAAGTTGGATAATATGTTTATGTTTGTGTGATTGCGAAGAAATGTGCTATAGTCTTTTTTTAATTGTTACTTTTATGTTCATTAAATTTCAACCAAAATAAAAAAAAACTTTGTGGGATGTATTTCTGGTTTTCCTGATTTTTCAACATATTATGTGCAGTTTGTAAAAAAAAGTTGAAGTTTTTGACTTTCGCAGAGGCAGTGCAGCAATTTAGAAATTGTAGCATAGTAAAAACAATATAAAGATAGCACCCTTTGATTGTAGTTGAATGGTATGAATGGTAATTATTGACAACATTCAAGCCATAACTTTTAACTTTTATAAAGTGTCAAAAAGTCAGTTACTTTAGCATGTAAAGCGCTTGAAATTTTCTGCTTTCATAAAATTTTGTATTTGCTGAAGTTCTGTGTTGTGTATCAATCAATTTTGTAAATTTTTATCTACTAATTGGTTTTAGCCAATCACCATTTGAAGAAATGAATCGAATGCATAACTCAATGTTATCAAGTTTTGGTAGTTCCTTTGGAATGATGCCTATGATTGGTGGGCCACAAAGTCTACAAAGTAGGGATCCTTTTAGAGGGATGATGTCTGGAGGTATATTTGGAAACATGGAGCGTATGATGGTAGATATCTTTTTTTCTAATTCTTTTCTCAGTTTTACTGGTATATTTAAAGATTCATTATATATATATATATATATATATATATATATATATATATATATATATATATATATATATATATATATATATATATATATATATATATATATATATAGAGAGAGAGAGAGAGAGAGAGAGAGAGAGAGGCAGACACAGAGAGGGAGAGAGATATAGATATAGATATAGACAAATAGAGAGAGATATGTATATACTTTTTTTACATTAGCAAGACATGCAAAAAAATACTGATGGTGTGCATTCATACTCATCCTCTCAATTTATATCTTATTCTAATGATGGAGTTAGCGAGCCAAAATACTATGAAGCAAGATCAGAGACTAAACAAGCTCCTGGTGGAGTAAGTTTTTTTTTTAATAAAGTAATGAATTTTTTACAAATTTTAAAGTTCAGTAAAAAGTTTGAATACAGATTGTTTTAAATATGAATTGGTTTTTAAAATATTTCAATAATTTTATTTTGCAAATTCTCATAAAAAACTGAAACTTACAAAATTAAACCAACATAAAATTTATCTTGAATATATTTTTAAAAACATTAAAATATCTCACAAAAACTCTGTTTCAAGTATTTAGAATAAAAAGCTGAAAAGAATTCAGGTGATTAAAGAGATGATTGGCTGTGATATGATAAGTGAATATTAGTTAAAAAGGTGAAAAAAATCTAGTTCTACATTTGATTCTTATTAAATTCTGACGATGATTTACTAATCTAGATACAATTAAGTCAAGATAAAGAAGTAATAATAGGGCTTGACACAACAGTTTGCATATAGGTATTTCATTAGTGTTAGTGTTAATTGGCCCCAATAATTAAAAAATTTAAAGTTAATAAAAAGTATTTTGGTAAATACATACAAATTAAATACATACATACATACATACATACATACATACATACATACATACATACATACATACATACATACATACATACATACATGCATACATACATGCATGCATGCATGCATGCATGCATACATACATACATACATACATACATACAAACTTAAATTACAAATAATTATTAATGAAATTATTTAAAATCTTTTATTTTAGATTCGCCAAACAAGGAAATCTGAAAGAAATTCAGAAACTGGACTCGAGCGAATGGCCATAGGTCATCATATACGTAAGTTGATTTTAAAATTCTTTTTTTTTTTTTCACCAAAAGCATAATGAAGGGTAAAAAAATGTTGTTAAAAAATAAAAAATTTAAAAATTTAAATGTAAAAAAATTTAATTTGAGAGTAATAATCTAAAAAGCAATTCTTTTAATTTTTTTTAATATTATTGTTTTACATGAAGAAAAGTTCCAGCTTATTTGTATTTAAAGAAATCTGGTCTGATTTATGTTTCTCTTTGATGTCAATAAAAATAAGTATTTTTGAATTTTAATGAAAAGTTGCTCTTAATAAAAGTTTTTTTTAAACTATGAAAAATTTGAGATCTTATAAAACCAGTTGTATAACTCAAATGCAGCAAAAACATTATATTCATCAATGAGAAATTTGAAAGGGAAAATCTGTGCTTGTGCATAAAAAAAAAACCTCTGCAGTGAACATGCTATTCTCAAAACCAGATATTTTTATAACAAAAAAAAAAAAGAAGCATAAGCCTAGTAATAGTAATGAAAATAAGATAACACAGTTACAAAAAAGTTGAAAAGATTTTTAATAATATTTTAATAATTAATTTTTTTGTTAAGTTTAACCAACTCAAACTTATTTTTTTGTCTTTAAATGTTTTAAAATTTTTGAGAATTTTATTGCCATTATATTATGAAATAAAACTGAATTTAACTGCAAACTTAAAATAACTTTTTTTTGCATAAAAAGTATTTAAGAAAAAATACGTCTTTAAAGTGGATTATTTAACCACAGTCACCTTCATTTAAGTTTTTTTTTCAGAACACTCCCAAAAAGTCTGCAAGCAGTCACTATTTAAGTTAAAATTTAACAGAAGGCAAAGAATTGATTTAAAGAGCAAGAAAGTAGTTGGTAGAAGGTGTCAACTGGTATGAGTCAGAAAAGCATGAAAATAGGAGAAATATTTAAAGCACTAATGTGCAAGGTAAAGAAAACTAAAATAATTTAAAAAAAAAGTTTTTTTGAGCATGAAGGAACAGAAAATTATATGACTTTTCTAAATAAAATGTCACGCAAGCTGGGAATGCAGAGTCCCAAAAGATACTCAAGATTTGAAAGTCGCAAAATTATTAGTTCTTTCTTGTTTTTGTTATCCAGGAGCTCTACAAATGTAAAGAGACTTATGGTGTTCGTTTATGGAAAAATTAGACTTTTAGATCAGAGCAGGGGGGAAGGGGAGACTACCCTAAGACGTATAAATCCAGGGTGGTCAGGGGTCCTTGAAATCTTTGAAGTCCTGGAATTTCAAATCTATGTTCTCTGATAGTACAATAGCATCAAAGTTTGCGTTAAGCAAAACAAAATACGGCTACCTCATAAATTTTGGCTTAACACCATACTATCGAGAACAACATATCTGAAGTCAGAGCATCACCCTTCTTTGTTTTGTCATATAATAAGAGTATGAATGTAATCTTCAAAAAGGAACAAATGGACTGTGGAGTTAGATACTGGGATTCAAATTCTGGTGTTGTAAAATCTAGATATATTAATTCTAAATTTCTCAGACGCTCTTATTCCCAGAATTTATTTAACAAACTTATTGAAGGAAAAGAGATATTTGATCTTGGAAAACTAATTCAAGTATCAATGGATAGTCCTCGTGTTAATTAGGAGGTTCTAAAAATGTTAGATGAACAAAAACAGGAAAAAACATATTCTGATATAGTTGATATGGGCAGTTGCAGTTTGCACATTGTTATGCTGCCATACAGACAGCAATAAATTCCAAAAGTAAGAATTGGATAAAAAATTCCGTGCAATGTATAATCTTTTTTAAAGAGTCACCAACTAAATTAGATGAATTTACTTAGAGTTTACAAAACAGATTTGCTTGCTTTGCCGTAAGCATACATATTTAAGTAGAAAAAAATATAATAATAAATTATCTTATCTTTTATATTTATATATAAGTTAAGAGCATTTCAACATTTATATTTTTGGATTTTATTGTTTCATACTTTCTGTGCAACTTGCTGGGTAGAAGATAAAGGTATGGCTTCTAGAGGCATTATTGTATGACCAAACATGGTTAAAGTTATAAAATATTGGCAATCACTATGTAAATGCAGGCGTCTTAAAAAAAAGAGCTATGAAGTTCTGGTAGATCATCATCTTCACAATTTTGTACTTTTGTGAATGCAGTTATTTAAAGATTTTGTTAAAAGTTGAAAGGATTTCTAGTTTAAACAGACAGACCTATGGTTGCATTTTTATTTAACAGCTTAGAAAGCATGTTGCGAAGTTTGATGAAAATGATTCTCAAACCAAACATTTTAAATGAAGCTTTAATAAAAATTGAAGTAGGTAAATCAAACAACCAACTAGATATAAACAAAATTGAATTCGGAACAGCACTAAAACAGATGCTAAGTTATCTTTGTTGTAAACCAGAAGATAAATTTGAGTTTATAATGGAATGTTAGCAGATTGAAATATTCTTTAGTGATGAGTGCTTCATTTTTGTCTCCAAATGAAATGGTTCAAAACAAGGAAATACCCACTATTAAATTAAGTTATTTAGCAAAAAAACAATATTTGCCATAAAAAATGTGGAAAAAAAAAAAGGGGTCCTCAAATTTTAATCTGGGCGGCACCCAAATATGGTTAACGCTTTTGAAAGCTGTCTGGAATAGCCACTGCTAGTCAAAAAATTCCATGAATTTTTTTTTCAAGTAGAGTAGTGAGCATAGTCTTAGCAGATGGTAATTGTAGATTGGGTTGTGTAAATGGTTCCCATGAAAGCTCATTAGTAAAGGATGATCTAAGAAAAGTTAAAATAGGGAACTCAATATAGAGTGTTTCCTTTTACCAGTATAGAGTGTTGCCATTCACCAGTATAGAGTGTTGCCATTCACCAGTATAGAGTGTTGCCATTCACCAGTATAGAGTGTTGCCATTCACCAGTATAGAGTGTTGCTATTCACCAGTAAGAATGTTGCCATTCACCAGCATATCAATAAAATTGCTGTAATTATTAGCAATAAAAAACTGAGTTTCGATTTGATTAAAAATCTAATCTGTAATAGGAAAGAGATCACGTTCAAGATGAAAAGTTCAGATATCACAAACTTTCGTTATCAAAAATAAATATTAAGTACTAAGTTTTCTATAGTAACAAAAGAAGTGATAACAATTGTCTATTCTATGAAACATTAAAATTACATAGTAGCAAAAAAAGTAATAAAAAATTTTAATTGTCTTTTCTATGAAACTTTTAATACAAGTTTTATCTTTTAAACAAAATAGATGGTTTTATTTAAAAAAAAAAAATTTTAATCTACTACTGTTGTGCAATAGCTAGGAATCAAAAAATATCACTATGGAAGATATAAAGTAATTTATTGAAAATACTATCAGTTGCTGAAATATTTTCTGCACTTAATGGTATAATCAATACCATTAGCTGTAAATTAAGCATTTGCTTGCAGGGTAAATTTTATCTAGTTATTTCAATAAGCATCTTAGAACATTTTAAAGCTTAAATTAGCCACTAAACTTTTTTTAAATAATTAGTTAGATTAAATATTCTTAAATAAGTTTGCTATTGTAGAATTGTAAATAACATAAAATAATGAAGAAAATGTAAAACATGTATGATTCGTGTATTTTTTTGTGCATTAAAAGTAGATAAATTTAAAAAAAGAATTTTTGGTATAAATGCTTTTATTGATTAAATTAAGGATTTTTTTTTTTAAACTAGATGATAGAGGTCATATTATTGAAAGAAGTAACAATCGTCGTACAGGAGATAGAGAACAAAAAGAAGACTTTGTCAACATGGACGAAGGTAAGAATAATTAAGTATGTTGCAAATTATGAAAGCTTTGATTTTAATACTGCATTAAATATTTGTATTTAACCAATATGTTTTTATGTCGGATACTGGAAATATGTTTTTATGTCAGATACTGGTAAATTGTCTTAATAGCTTATTAAATAAATATAGTTGTGGAGAACACAAGTTTTATTTGTTATACATATTTCAAAAGGGTCGATAAACTATACAGTCTTTTTGAAATTTAATGCCAGCGCATGAAAAGCGCTGGCAGGATGGTCATTGTTAAGGTGAGTTTCCACTCATCCATTTTTCAACAGGAAAGGGAAAGGGAACGGAAAAATAATCAGGTGAGCATGCGCAGTTTTCTTTCGGACAAATAAAAACCTTTATTACGCATGCTCACGTGATTATTTTTTCCTTTCCTATCCCGTTCCCGTAGAAAAACGGATGAGTGGAAACTCGCCTTAAAGTTAGACTGCTGATTTAAAAAATTCTCTTTTTTCTGCTATTTGAATTAAAATAAAAATAGCAAAAATAATGCAGTTTTTATTGTATTTTTTTCAACAAAAATTTAAAAAATATATATTGTGAAATATTAAACAAAGCAAACCAAACATGAAACTGCAAAAAACTTGGAAAGCAAAGAAGCTAATTGGAACTAAAATGTATTAGAATCAAAGCAGAGCAGAGCAAAAAAAAAAAAAAAAAAAAAAAAGGAAATAAGCGCTACAAGCTGAGAGAAACTGTTCTTATTAATAAATTATTAAAATAAAAATCTGTACTAATGCTGATAACCAGCGCAAAAAACCATCAAGACAGGTGAATTGTGTAGCATGCCAAGTATTTTTTTTAATGGATTTTTACTCCTAGTAAACCATGTTTTGTTGTATATATTATATATAATTTTACGTTCATTAATATTTATTTTGAATTAAGTAAAGTAATTTTTAAAAATAAAAAAATAATGAAAATTTGTTTTTAGAATTTTTTTTATTTAGTAATAAATTAAAATAACGGAGCTGCTGCAATTTAAACATTTTTTAATTATAGAAGAAAAAGATGCTTTTCACAGAGAGTGGCATCAAAAAGCACGTTCTTACAGCGGAAGAGATGCAATAGCTGATCATCGTGAGAGATATGACAGAGCTCATCAACCACGTGCTATTGAAGGTATAAATTATTTTAAGAGTAAAAAGGGTCAAAGAACTAAAAACATTTTTTAACTATTTCTGTATCCTCTTTATTTTCGATTTATCATTTCCGACAGAAAGTTTAAGTTATGTTTTTTAAGTTTTTTCTTATTTTAATTTTATTTTTAAACGTCTTTAAGAAATACCCTAAATAGAGTTTTTTAAAAGTCTCTGTATTCTTTCGTTTGATCTATTTATGTATTTGGGCAAAACGCTTTTGCTATAGTCCGAGATAACTAATTATAGAAGTTTCATACATTAAGGGCGCATAAGTCTGTATAAAAGAGTATATATGCGCACAATAAAGCAAGCATGGTTTGGAAAACAGGTTTGAAACATTTTTGCACAAGTTTTGCACCTTTTTACATGAAATGGTTAATTAAAATTCGAACAATTTTCCAGACAAAGAAAAAAACTTTAAAAAAGAATAATGAAAAAAACTAAAATAAGTAATGAAATATAATTGGGTATATAAATACTTTTTGTAGTCTTTATTGTCTTTCATTCAACTTTTCTTACTTAAGGCAAACAAAATTAGGGAATATACCATTTAAGAAATGATCTCTGGGATTACATTGCCTCATTACATTGCCTCATATACGGATTTTTGATGTGCGATACTTTCTTTTAAATTAAATTCTTGTATCAAGTTATTTTGTTTTACTTTAGATAACAGTTATCGACGGGAACGCTCAAGAGCTAATGAAAGACAGTCGAGAAAGTACAGCGATTTCGATAATATATAAGTATTTTGGCATATTTAATTGATCTTTTCCTATGTAATTTATTGATGTGTATAGAGTCTTTTGTGAAATTAATATGTATTTATTTTTTTTTCTTACACGATACCAATAAATATTATAAAAAGTTATATATCAATCTGTAAAAATTTTTTAAATATTTTAGTGTGTTCAATAAATTATGACTAGAAAGTTGGAGTCTACTTTTTTTGTAGTCTAAATCAGGGAATATCTTTTTCCGGATATTTCCGGAATTCCGGATATTTTTCTCGACTTTTAGTTTTTCCGGATATCAAAAATGTTTTGCATAGATGCAAGTTTAGGAATATATTTTTGTAATATGTTTTTTAAGCTTTTTCACTCATTACTCATACAAAACTTAAGAAAAGTAAAAAAAAAAAAAAGCTCAGCTAAAATCAAAATTATTAGGAATATTAAGGAAAATATATTCCGGAAATTTTACCCTATTGATTTTCCGGATTTTGAAATTATAACCTGGATGATCTATGCAAAATATAAATCAAAATTTTTTGGCAAACCTTGATTGTCAACCTTGTGTCATTCTTTTATCATTTCAACATTTAATCTACAAAAACAGTTTATTGTGAGTATCTACTCCACCTTTGCATAACGGAATAATACGCTTGAATTGATATTTGCTCTTTTTGCATAATGTTTTTATACGTGTTTTTCATACTTTCCTAAAAGTAAACAATTTTGTATGGACTCATCAGGTGTTCTATAAATTAAGCTAAAAATATATCGTATTGAATTCACGGTTGTTAGATGTGCCAAGTTTTTGTACGTAAGCGCAGTGTTAAATACAAGCATTACAACGTTAAATATGGTGAAGGCCTTTAGATACAAAGAATTTTTTAAAGTAGCAACAACATTAACTTTTAAGTCATTTGTATACTTTTAATAAAATAAACTATAAAGGTAATTGAATCGTTGATACTTTAATGATAAAAACAAAATAAAGATGTTTTAGTATAAAATAAAATAAAAACTGCGATTCTCTACTATATTTATATAACTGTTAAAGGTAGGTATGTGTAATCTCGTTTTACGGAATCGATAAATGTGCTATATTTCTATGCCACACTTTTTAAAGTTTACTTTTTGCTTGTAAGTTAAGGAACGTTTTTGTTGCCTTAGTTTTTTAAATTTTAAAAATAGATATTTTTTTAAACTAGAATAATGAAACTTTTTAATTGTTATATAATTATAACAAACTTTATAATAGGATTTATTAACTTTTAAAACTGTATTGTACTTCTTGCCTTCAGTAAATGAGATATGCTTATACTTTTAACAATCGTTTCCGTACTCCTATGTTTACATATTTTCTATGTACCAGCCGCGTTGTATTGAAAAATATGGATGCACACTAATCACTACTTTCACTCCTACTTTTCGTACCTAATTTTCATTTTCTGAACTAATTTACGGATTGTGGGAAAGGAGGAGAAGAAAGAATAACCATTAGAAATGAACGAGTTTTAAATGTTTTTACAACTATATTATAATTTATTTGAAAGTTTTTATTTTTTAAGAAAAAGCTATCAAATAAACCTTAATATATTTATAAGGTTTTTGTAATAATGTAACATATTGATTTAGATAAAATAATCATTTCTATGACAAATTTGGTTGTAAACAGTAAGAATTTGAAATTTGAAACGTTGTAAAACGGAAAAATTTGAAACTTAAAACTTTGTAAAAAAGAAGATGTAGAAGATTATAAGATAATAATAGGAGAAGATTATAAATGTAGTTATCTCATATTATTAGTAACTTAAGAAAAATTGAATACATTTCATACAATTAATTAATAAATTTAATATACTGATAGACACATTTTTTGCGTATGTAGTAGTTTTTTCTATTGGAAAATAGTATGATTATATTGTAATTTTTTTTATAGTCTATATATTTTTATATCACATAAAAATAAACTCATAATTGTTAGTCTTCATATAATTCTCGTACATATACTTATATTTTGTTATTCATGTTTCTTTTTAAATATTTAATTTTTTAGATATTTAAAAAACATTCTAACTGTAAATTAAAAGGGAAATTGCATGGAATGTATGCACAAATGCACAAATTTATACCATAGTAGTTGCAACTCACAAAGGTCAAGTGCTCTTTAACTAAATAAGTTCAGTTTAGCTTTGTTAATTTATTTTAAGGTTGAACCAAAGTCATCATATTTCAATCACAAAAGTTCAATTTGGTAAGACTTTGCAAATGAATAAAACTGACAACCTTAATAAAAATATTTCATATTTTAATAACTAATGGCTTCTAAGTGAACTTTCCTTTGCTGTAAAATGTTATGGAATTGTTTTACACTAATTATTTTCTTTTATAATAAAACACAGCACCATATTAAAATAAGGCATATACAAAAAATATAAAAATAAAATATATTACACTTCATTATAATTTTTTTGTGGTATACTTATAAATTATTAAGGTTTTTAGCCCTTTCTATCCCAGTGATGCAATATATTATCATTGATATGAATTAAACAAAAAAACAATATGTTGACGAGGTGGAGGAGATCACTATGTTTTTGAGTAAAGTCAGTGTTCTAATACTAACTTAATTCATAAATTACAGGAATATTCGAAAATACGCAAACTATATATAATTCGCGTGTTATATTTTTTGTTATTTAAAGTCAATAAAGCCATAAGGAAGGGTTAACAAAGCCAGAGTTTTAATAATTGTAAAAAATTTTTTAACTTTTAAGATATAATGGGTCCAAAAAATAATTTATTAAAAAAATATTTTGCGGGGACTTCAAGAAATATATTTAATGTTAACTATACATTAACATCAGGAACAGACCTAATCTGTAGGAACAGGAAAGAAACTTTTTCTTTATACTCACAATGGTATTTAACAATACTTTTGATAAGTTAAAGAGTATTTTGACTCCAACAGTTGCCTAACACAAAATTAAAGTGTAATGTATGGAGTAAAAAAAAAGTGGGCAAAGTATTTTAAAAGGCAAAATGTAAGTTGTGTTGCGTTTTGCAATCAGCCTTGTACATGCTTATTACCATTGACAATAACTTTTTCATTGCCACCTTACTCCTGTAATACTATTTATAATGTTGCGTGTTCTTCAAAAGTAAATTGCAAACTTGTTATTACAGGACAAATTTGCAATCTTATTACTACAAAAATGACAATAAAAATTACAGAGAGAGAAAAGTTTAAAAACGTAACTTTAAAACAAAGTGCTTTTATTAGAACAAATAAAAGTATTATTACTAACTTAGAAAATGATATGACCGAAATGGAGGACAGCAGTATGAATAGTACAAATTTTCAGATGATTATAAAACCTATCCATTACAAACAAGGATAATAATTTACAGCATGTTATTGTCCAATACCCCAACAAGCAACATTTCAATCCTTTTCGGACAAAATTGGACATTATTTAGATGTTGTTTTTTCTTACATTCCTCACCGTAGTACCCTTGACCAAATGGCTCATTAGCTTAGCTGTATCGCTGATCTGCAAGTAGCATAATAACTCATCAGTAATAATCATCTTATTCCCAGCATTGATGTTAAAACACAAGAAGGCGTTCATATCAGCAGCATTCACTGAACGTAAAAATATAAATGCCAGGTTATTGCTAATGATAAATTACTGAGTGGTACAGCTGTTGATTATGCAAGCTATACATATAACAAAGTGGATCATACTGTTTTAGTTTATATAAACTTTCACTTGCAACCCTATGAATAATTTCGTCATTTGATCATCTCAAATATATTAAATGCTATGTCCGGTAGAGTTTTTTTTAACCATTTTACAATTAGAAAAATCCGAATGAATTAAATAAAAATGCTGTTCATGTCGTTCAGCATTAAAATTAGGTATGTGGATAAAAAATTTTAAATTGAACAAATATTATGAAATATGATTGGAGATTATAATGAAATATGAAATATGATTGGCTTTAATACAGTATTTTAAAGATGAAAACATTATCGATATTTATATATCGATATTGAATAATTTTACAATAATATTCAATATCGATAATACAATATACAATACAATAAAAACGAATTCGCGTCACGTTGGACGGATTCGTTTTTATTTATTTTTTTGTTTACATTAGTTTGTAGTTGTACAATTATATAGTGGTAATAATAATAATAATAATAATAATAATAATAATAATAATAATAATAATAATAATAATAATAATAATAATAATAATAACAATAATAATAATAATAATAATAATAAAAAAAATACTAATTACAAGTACCTTTCACAAATTTACAATGATAAACTATATAAACAAGGTAACTGAAAGAAGATCACGAAGATCTTGTCATCAGAACCTTAAATAAGCCGTTTTTTTGAAATGCATAAATAAAAATTCTTACAATAATGAAATAAAATAAATGATTTTCTTACAATGATGAAAGAAAATAAACTTTATAAAGTATATAGACTAATATAAAAATATACATAAACAAAGTAAAATAACTTGATATAAACAAAAATGATTTGCTTAGTAATAATAGAAAGTTAACAACTTAAGAATGTTATTATTAATAGTGCATAAGTACGTTGTCCATGGAAAGAATAAAACTTTTAAGTTTAGCTTTACAAACAGGGTAAGAAAAAAGCGAATCAAAAATTTGAAAAATAATCTTATTCCGAAGACACGGTGCACAATAATCAATACAAAATTGATTAATTTTGGTTTGACAAAAAATTTGGTATAGCAAGTCATTATTTCTTAGGGTATATTTATTGACAGGTTTTAAAGTAAAGATATTTTTAAAAACGTTGGGAACTAAATTATTTTTCCACATATATACAAAACATTTTTTTTTTTAACATTTTTGCCCTTCTTTACAAAGACGAACAGACAAGGCTTCTGAAAGAAGATCATAATGATCTTATTATCAGAACCTTTTACAAGTTTTTAAAATCAATACATTATACCTGAGTATAACAATTTCATTCCAAAGAAAAAGTGCTCGAAATGTAATGCAAAATTTGTTAAATTTTGTTCTGCAAATTGGTTCATATACAAAATTTTTATTTCTAAGTAAATATTTATTAATTGGGTTTAGAAAAAAAAGGTTCTTACCTATTAGAAAGTGATGTATTATTGTATTTACTTTGTAGATGTATATATATATATATATATATATATATATATATATATATTTATATATATATATATATATATATATATATATATATATATATATATATATATATATATATATATATATATATATATATATATATATAATTTTTTTTTAAGCGTTTACGATTTTTTTTCGAACAAATATTTATAATCTTTGTATATTTTTTGATTTTTAGATGATTTCGTTTTAAGATACTTTTTATACAACTTCTGTTTTGTTTTAGATTGTTTATTTTAATTATTTTTCAATAATAAGAAAGTTAGGATCATATACGGCGTAAAATAGTTTAAAGAAGGTCTCATAAATGGTGTCAGCATTCCACTTGGTATTAATACGATCCCAAAAGAGATTTTTAAAAAGATTCATATTAGTAAGATTAAAATCTCAAATATTGTTTTAGAATTATTATTAATCGAAGCGTTTGAGTTAAGAGTCAGAAAGACTGGGAAATGATCAGAAATGCCAGATTTTAAAATGTGACAAGACCGTTAGTTCTTTTTGGGGCACCTAAAATAAAAATTTGCCGCAGACGGGCTTTTCAACATCTTATCAAAATTTTCTCCAAAATTATTTTCTTTTTCGGATTACTAAACATGATATTATTAAGTGTATATCTAATGGTAATAATATTTGCTATTAAAATAATATACATTAATGTAGAGCATGCGATGATGCTACAACAGCCGTTTGTGTTTTAAATTGTCGAATTAGTTGTTCACAACTTGTAAATCATTGCCAAATTAATGTAGTGATATATCAAGTTCTCCTTAATGTATTATTTAAAAAATTAATGTAGTATATTAAGCTCTCCCTTTTTCTCAAGTCTTTAAACTAAATTTACAAAGCCTTTTTTCATGGAGTTTTTTAGATCTGGAATGAGTTTTGTGGCTTTTCTTTGGATATATTATTTATTTATGTAAAGTTATTTTTTTTAATTGACGCATAAAATTTAATCATTAATCAGTATAATGTAAATTTAACATAATATTAATAGGTAAATGTTTTATATTAAGTACATAAATTTATATAAAACATTACTTATAAGGAATATTTACTTGTATGCAGTTTAATTTTTTGTTTAACTTGCGACAAGCCATATTATTTAGTTAAATATATTTTATATTATTTAGTTTAACTAAATAATATAAAATATATTTTGTTGCTGTGAACTTTAATAAATAAAAAAGAATAAAGTTTAGGATTTGTGCTGATTGTGCAAATAATTTTAGAAGATTCAAAGAAATCTTATAAAAAATTATTAATATAAAAAAAAATCAAATATATTTCCCTACTGTTATATATATCTTTATAGAGAAAACGTTGACTTTAACTCGTGTTAAAATCATATAATTCTTATCAGTATGATAAATATATGTAATCGTTTTTGTTAATCGACAGAAACATGTTGTCAAAACTGCTTCCAATTTTCCCTCAAGACTTCAGCGTTTTTACGTTAGTTACAACAAGATTATCGCGTAAGGATGCACATTTAAGCCACTTCTTGCCTTAACAACTCCACTTCAGCTTCAGTTTCGACAATTGCTCGTTCGATTTCGTAATTCTTGCTTACCAAACCAATCCAACTAAACACGGAAAAAATATATATTATGTGTTTCTAAAATATGTAATTTTCAAACAAGAACAGTAAAAAAAATATTCTTTTTTTCTTTTTTGATCTCCTTAACACCGGGTAATTTTACTGGGTTTCAAAATGCCTTTCTCTCTTTTATATATATATATATATATATATATATATATATATATATATATATATATATATATATATATATATATATATATATATATATATATATATATATATATATATATATATATATATATATATCTAGCTTAGCAGATAGAGCAGGTCCAACTACGTTTACAATGCGCTTTTACACCCTGTCTAGAAGAGAAAGAGCATCATTAGAAGAACCAGCTCAAATATGACAACAGTATTCCATACAGGGACATATAAGAGTTTTTAGAAGTAGAGAATGGAATCAGAAGTAAAAAAATGGTGAGCACGATAAAGAGAATCAACTTTAGCAGTTGCTATTTTAGCAATCGATTGTATATATGGCTTCCATAAAAAGTCAGTAGTAAACGATAATCCAAGAAGACGTTAAGAAGAAGACTCAGTAAGAGGGTTACCATTCATTAATATAAGAATGTCGACAGTATTGCAAGTTTTATTAGAATTCAAATTTATAAGACACTGCTAAGGATAGAACCTTGAGGTACCCCAGAAGATACTAGAAATAAAGAAGGTGTTGGCCTTCTAGGATGACTTTAAAAAAGCTGTCAGAAACAATCTATTTGATAATCTCAAAAACATTCCCAGATAAACAAAATGAAACAAGCTTATGGAAAAGACCAGCATGCCAAACGTTGTCGAAAGCTTTAGATATAAAATCTTTCACTTACAGCAGTTAGCAAGTCAGGGGTAGAGCAAGAGGATCGAAACCGTATTGATTGTATGACAGTTATCAATAGATGGGATGTGAGATTTTTGTTGATGAAAAATTCAAAGACCTTGCTAATAACAGAAAGAAGACTGATCAGACAATAATTGGAGGGGTTAGAATGTTCACCAGAGTTTTTGAAAATTGGAACAACAGATGTCATTTTTCAGCGGGTAGGAAAACAAGATTCAGTCAAGCACTTTTTAAATAGTATAGAGAGAATTGAAGGAAGTTCTGAAAAACAATTTTGTAAGACTATGATAGGAATGATGTCTGGATCACAAACCGTAAAAGAGTTTAATTGAGATATGACTGTAGTGATTTGAATGTCTAATGGGTTAACACCTGTTCAATTGGAATAAAAGGAAGATAATGGCTATAAGATTCAAGAGTTGAAAAGTTCTATATATATATATATATATATATATATATATATATATATATATATATATATATATATATATATATATATATATATATATATATATATATATATATATATATATATGTATATGTATATATGTATGTATATATATGTATATATATATATATATATATATATATATATATATATATATATATATATATATATATATATATATATATATATATATATATATATATATATATATATACTCTTGCATGTCTCTTGCGTGGCATCAAAAAAAGTTTCCCATAAACTGTAGTTTTAAAGAGCGCGTTAATAAACCAGACCAGAAAAAGTTTTAACAATTAAATTTTTTTTTTAATTGATAGACTGCCTGGCCAAACCAAACCCTCAGTCGATGTAGCAGCACTCTCTTGCGAGTCAGGCTATTTGTCCGTCGATGTAGCAGCATTCCCTTGCGAGTCAGGCTATTTGTCAGTCGATGTAGCAGCACTCTGTTGCGAGTCAGGCTATTTGTCAGTCGATGTAGCAGCACTCCGTTGCGAGTCAGGCTATTTGTCAGTCGATGTAGCAGCACTCTGTTGCGAGTCAGGCTATAAGATAGTCGATGTAGCAACATTTACGCATGTTTTAAAAATGTTTTTTATTAAATCAATAACAAAAACACCACTAATTAAAAAAAAATTTTTAGTCGTTATAATTGCGGTTTTTTAAAAAATTTTTAAAAAACAATTAAATTTAATGTACTTCCGCATAAATTAATTGCTTTGACATTTCGATGACAATCAAAAACAGCTTAAGAGACGAGGTAATTAAAATTGTAGTCGTAAGAGACTTTTTTTACATTAAAACGCTCTTTCGACTACACTATAAGGGTATATATATATATATATATATATATATATATATATATATATATATATATATATATATATATATATATATGTTATAGTCTTGCAGAAGTGTTCTCCGGAGCTGTCGTCTATCCTTTCAAAACTATTTAACAAGTACTTATCAGAGTCTTGTTTTCCAGCCTGCTGGAAAGCAGCATCTGTTATCCTTATTTTTAAAAATTCTGGAGAATGATACGATTCATCGAACTACCGTCCCATTAGTCTTCTTTCTATCATAAAAGCAAAGTTTTTGAATCTTTAATTGACAAACACTTAATCTCTCATTTTGAATCTAAAAACTTACTTTCTGATCATCAATATGGATTTCAATCTTCTCGTTCAACAGCTGATTTGCTAACAGTAATATCTGATAGATTTTATCGTGCATTAGATAAAGGTGAAGAGGTTAAGATCATCGCTCTTGACATTTCTAAAGCGTTTGATAAAGTTTGGCATGCTAGTCTTCTCCATAAGCTTTTATCTTACGATGTATCTGGTAACATCTTTAAGATTATTGAATCCTTCCTTTCCAATCATAACATAAAAGTTCTCCTTGATGGATAACACTCTTCTTCTTATTCTGTAACCTCAGAGGTTCCTCAAGGTTCAATCCTTGGCCCTATATTCTTTTTAATTTACATTAACGATCTTCCAGATATTCTCACATCTAAGGTGGCATTGTTTGCTGATGATACTACTATTTATTCTTGTCATGATAAGAAGCCAACTCTTGCAATAATTTAGATCTTCCTATATTTATAAATGATAATGTACTTGATGAGTCATCTACCCTTCATCTTCTAGGATTAACTCTTACTTCTGATCTTTCTTGGAAATCATATATTAAATCCGTTACAAAATTAGCATCTGCTAAAGTTGCATCTCTTTATCGAGCTCGACACTTTCTTACTCTGCTTGGGAATCCCATCTTGCATTGTTTGATTTAGGTATTTTCTGAAACTTCACTTTAGGAAATACTTCAGATTATTCAAAAAAGAGGAATACACAAGTTGAATGCAATAGAACTTTCATATCATTAAACCACCATGCTGTTTTAAATAATCACTTCTTTACCATTCTTAAACATTTTTCTGAGCTGTTTGTAGTTCTTTACAAGTTGCCAGATAAATGAATATTCTCTATTAACCAACAGGCTCAATAGACACTAAAACTTGATTCCTCCAAGTTCTTCATCCATTACTAAGCAAAGAACTTGGTCAAGAAAAAAATGTTGACAACAAATGAATTGCAGTTTTTCTAGTTTTTTTTTTTAGTAAAACACCTTGACTGACTGACTGAAGTCAACTTGAACTGACTGACTGAAGAAATCCCATTTCTTCTTCCAGTGTTTACATTCTTAGTGTTCACTACAATCATCTTTATACTCTTCAATAAATTGTATTCATTGAGAATAGTTGAATTCACCTTAAACAACAGTATTCCGTCTGGTAGATCTTGTAACTTAATTACTCTTTGTTTATTTTTTAACTTGATGGCTAATGTGATACGCTAATGTGATACACTAATGTGATACACTAATGTGATACACTAATGTGATACACTAATGTGATACACTAATGTGATACACTAATGTGATACACTAATGTGATACACTAATGTGATACACTAATGTGATACACTAATGTAATAAACTAATGTGATACACTAATGTGATACACTAATGTAATAAACTAATGTAATAAACTAATGTGATACACTAATGTGATACACTAATGTGATACACTAATGTGATACACTAATGTGATACACTTGATATTCTTGGTGACTGATGTTTACTTTTTATTTAACTATTTGTTAAACTTCTAGATGACTCCATAAAATTCTAGAAACTTTTCTAAAAACTTTTTTTAAAAACTAATCAGAATAAAATCCATTTTCATTACTTTTGAGCTAAAGTTTATCGATTTATGACACTAATTTACAATAAGTTAAAAAATCATAACCCTAACATGTGCTTAAAAATGTAATAACAATAAACTTTAATTGAAGACTGAAAATGCTTAAGAGAATGAAGAAAAATTAATGGATATGCTTTGCGAATGCAGAAAAATCTATGGATAATTTTTAACGACCTAAGGTTAATTATAAAAACAACATTTTGTGTTGAAATATATTTAATAGTAAATGAACAACAAATAATCGATTATAAATTTATTAATTTTATAAATTTATTAAAACTATAATTATTATACACCAAGTTTTATTTAAAATAAAAAATTGCCTGATACCGCTCTAAGACTTATACTAATAAAATTTTTTTAAATGTTTAATTTTTGTTTTGAAAACTTTAGATTATATTAAAATCAAACAACTAAAGTTATACGAGAGATATTAAAATTTGGGTTGAATAACATTTGAGGAGGCCATCTGCAAAACACACTAATTACAAGTAAATTGATTTTGTGGAAATGACAAAAACTTAACAACTCAATTGCTCATCAACAAAAATTGATAGTTTATTTGTCATCACAGAAATTGATATTTATTGTTTATTTTTAGAACAAAAAACTTTCAATAGGTCTAATATTTAAACAGATTTCAGCATATAAAATGTGTATATAGAACTCAAAACTTTTATTTTTATGACTTTGTGTTAAGATTTTTTGTTGTTGTTTAAAATAATTTTCATGTTTTGAAAATATTAAACAACATAATAATAAAAAAAAACAACAAACAATCATTAATTGAATCATTTGTTTCAGAAACCCATCAAGTGACATTTCTTTCTAAAACGATATTATTATAGATTATAAAAGCCCAACTTTAGCAGGCCTTGCGATAAAGCGTCGGGCGATGTGAATTTTACGTCGCCCAAGAGCGATTTTGCGTGTAGCTAGGGCTATTTGCGTCGAGCAAAAAATTTTTTGTTTGAGTATATTTAAAGATATTTTTGAGCGGAATTTTAATGAAGTAAATTACGATTATTTTAACGTATAATAAAGTATTTTAAAAACCGCACGCAGTTGAAATAAAAGTTTGAATTTAAAAAAATTAAATATGCTCATTATTTACAAATAGAAAAAATTCAAAAATTAAAAAAAAAGTTTAAATCTTTTAAGCTAACATTTAATTAAAATTATTCAGCAATAGCAAAGTTGTCGATAAAATTGAACAAAAATACTTTCTTTTAGTTTTAGATTTTAAACTTAAATAATTATTTTACGGGGGTTTGTTAGATTTTAAAATTATTCCATAGATTTAAAAATATTTAATAACTGTTAGACGTATTTAAAGTATTTAAGAGTAATTTCGAGGAAACATTTTAAAAATTGGTGAGGGCAAATAAAAAAATAAAAAAGGATTAATATTAAAACGTATTCTACTTGATTCAATGAAAAAGTACAGTTATTAAAATTTTTGTAAAAAGTAACTCAAAAAAATTACTTAATTAATAACGATCGCTTTTATGTTAAAAGTTACCGAAACTCAACGAAGCGTGCTCAAGAAGAGCTGCTGAAAAATAGAACGTCAATAGTTTTTCGAATAATTTTTAAGAATAATTTTTTCGCTGAAATATTTCTTTTATACCTATAAGATTTTTATTCTAACATTTTATTTTATTTTACTAAAAATAAAATTCCTTGTTAACATTAAAAATTATTCAAAACGTTCGTTTAAGTTTTTTATTAATAAGAGTGATTGTGCTTATCAACCGCTTTTTGAAAATAAATAAAAATAAATAAATAAATATTATATAAAATCGCTTGTAAAAATATTAGCTATTGCACAGTTTTTAATCGTACAATATTAAAATTTCCAGTTTATTACTCGCTGACTTTTTAAAAAGAAAAAATAATTATTTGAAAAACTTTAAATTACATATGTAAGAAAAAAAAAATCAAATATTAGCATATTTTATAATCTTTTTTAAATTTAAGTTATAATGTTTTTTATTCGTTTAGTATGGACAAAACGTGACAAACGTCGAGAAAATAAACAAATGTTTTTACATTTTAAAAAACGAAACATTCCAAAACATTTTTAAATAATAACATTTCTACATAAACGATTTAAAGTAGTTTTGCGGTAATTAAGTAAATTGGTGCAGTTAATGTCGATAAATATGAAAAGCAAATAGAAAGAATTTAATGACGTCAAAAATCACGTCGTGCTTATGCGTCGCGCAGTTCTTATTCATCGCAAGGCCTGCTTTAGTCACACTGTTTTATGCAGAAAAACATGAACTAATAAGCCTTTCAATAGATGGTATTTTGCTATGAAATTTTCGTTTATTGCAGAAACCTGTTAAGTTTAACCACATTGAGGCTTTCTGCAGTAAACTTTGTATTTTGTGTACATAACATAAAAACAAAAAAAGCTAAAATGTACATTTATCATGAAGATGAGGCCAATAAATTCCCAGAGGATGTTTGCTTCATAATACTACATAATTTGAAAACTGAAGTTTTAAGCAGAATTAAGCATTTAACTCTTTTCAGTGATGGCCCTTCAGGGCAAAACAAAAATTATTACATAGTGAGATTTTTAATGGATCTTTGAGAGAAATAAAAGAAAAAATCCATCAAGAATCTCATTATATAATGATTTTTATAGAATGAATTTTTGATTTTTGTTTTGAATCTCACTATGTAACAACTTTTATAGAAAGAATTTTTGACTTTTGTTTTGAATATTTTGAGAACTTTTGAATATTTTGAGAACTTTTGAGAGGAATATTTAAAACTCTTTGTCACTACTTCACAGTCAGGGGTTACTCATTCTTACACTGTTATCACTGTTATCACTTTTAATACTTGGTGACCACATTTTTAAAAAAATAGACTCAGAAAAGTCAAAAAGACAGGATTCCTTTTAAAGTAAATACCTACAAAGAGTTCTATCACAACTAAACTGACCAAGAAAAGGTTATTACTAAGCACATTATTGGCAGTTTTACCTCCTCAATGTTTAAACTCAAAAAATATTGTGCAGTTCTGGAGCTCCTCCTCACAACTTTCACATATTGACATATCAAATTTCACATCAAGTTCACACTTATCACAGGGGTGGTGAGCAGGAGGAAATATTGTAAAATCTGCTTACTCACCGCAACTTTCAAGTTTTGTCGAATCTATTATTTTGAATAACATTTTGCACAGTTATCAGATATATCACCTGACCTTTGCCGATATTTCCCAAACTGCTTTTCTAGTGCATCTGATTGCATATGTCCTAACGATACATAAGATACACTGCAATTCAACAAATACTTCGCACAGCTTGCTAATCTTTTAGAAGTGTTTTGCAAAGCATAAACAATATCCATTGTTAACCTTTTCTCTCTTAATTTCGAACTTATGCATTTCAAATTTTTAGCAAAATAAAAAAAAATAGTTCTTTAATAAATCTATTTGCCAATCATTGACTGAAGGCTTATAGTGACTTATAGTGATAGGTTAAGCTAAAAAGTGCAGCATTGACTTATAGTGATAGGTTATGCTAAAAACATATAGAATAATATATATATATTATATACATATATTATATATATTATATATATATATATATATATATATATATATATATATATATTATATATATATATTATATATATATATATAATATATATATATATATTATATATATATATATTATATATATATATTTTATATATGTATATATATATATATATATATATATATATATATATATATATATATATATATATATATATATATATATTGTAGATAATAAACAATTATACTTTTTATATTTAATTTTTAATATTACAACATTTTTAATTTAAAAAAGGTTTAAAAAAAATCTAATTCAAGTTTTTTTTTCTGTCCGATACTTTTTGATATATACAAATTTTAATTAAATGAACTTTTAAGACTAGATTGCTTAGATTTAATAAAAACTCATTTGTTTTTAGATTAGCAAACAATTTTTTGACATTTCAGTGAAAATTTGAAGAAAAATGGACTTTTCATTCAAAATTTAACTTAAAATAAATAACTTTTTTTGTCGAAAAGGCTTTTTTAAGGTAAATGACTTGAGGTTTATCAATGATTTCTGCATGATTTCTGCATATCCTCTGGACAGTATATATATATATATATGTATATATATACATGCATATATATGTATATATGCATATATATATATATATATATATATATATATATATATATATATATATATATATATATATATATATATATATATATATATATATATATATATATATATATATATATATATATATATATATGTATATATATATATATATATATATATATATATATATATATATATATATATATACATATAATGATTTAAGACAAACTATGGTTCAAAAAATGTACTAACACATAAAGTAGAAACACACCTTTCTTCAAGCCTTTGTAACTCAGCACCAGCTTTTTTCTAAAATGTTAAACGGTTTATTAAAAATGGATGAACATGACCTATGAACAATTACAGGGGATTAAATACTAAAGTTTCTAGTACTTTAAACAGGTACCTGTTCACTTTTACGGTTCCAATTTATTTCTTGTATTCTTCTTCTAAAGTTCAAAAAACCAAAAAAAACATTTAACTAAATAAAACTAATAATTAAAATATTAATATTTTGAATAAAAAAATGTTTAAAATTTTATTTCTATTTTTATTCATTATTCTTATACATTTATATATTTCCGATAAATAATTAATTTGAAAAAATTTCTATTAAATAATTAAACAATTTATTTCAACTCCTTGCAATCCACGGTAAAAAAGAGGGGTACTAGAAAATGTAAACAATTATAGATAAATAACAAACTATTATCATAGATCATACATAAAGACAAAAAAGAATATAATAAAAAATAAATAAAATCCAACTAATGAATGAATGCTACTTTAGTGCTTATGCTTCACAAAATTTGTGAAGTATAATAGTATATATATATATATATATATATATATATATATATATATATATATATATATATATATATATATATATATATATATATATATATATATATATATATATATATATATATATATATATATATATATCAAGAGGTGTAAATCTAAAATCAATTTCAAATTTCAAATTTTCCATTTGGATGAGGCAATATGCTTTGTATTTTTTCAATCTTGTCAACTTTTTTAAATACAATAACATAAATAGAAAACAAAGCAGTTTAAGCAAAAATAGAATAGCCACTAGCTCGAAAAGTTTTTTCGAGCTAGTGGCTATTCTTATTTTTGTTTTGGTCTCCACAGTCACCTTCTGGAGTAGCAGGTCACCTTCTGGAGTAGCAGGACTCTTTTTTTTATAAGTTTCAGACCATAATTTTTTTTTTCAGACCAAAGTAAAACTTTAAAGTTTAATTTATGTTTTAATAAGTTTTAACATTACATAAGTATACATAAGTCAGATATTTGTGTGTGGGTTGTAGAAAGGCAAAAAAAATCTATTCCTGACCATGCATTTATTTAATTTTTGTGACAACTTAACCACAGCTTTTTGGATTTTAAAACACATTTCAAAAATGCGCTTAGTAAAGTGTAAGGTAAAAAAACGAAAAATTGCTTTTAAAGATTGTATACTATAAAAGAGATTTATTTAAACTATTGAAAGATATTATATTGTTAAAAAGTGTATTTTTCACGATTTGTTTAATTAATTTTAAAAATAACAAAAAAAAAATTCTTTTAATAAACTTTTTGATGAATCCATAAATTTAATAGTCAAAAACATAACAAAGTTAATTTTATTTTTATACTATATTATTTTTTTAAAAGTTTTTATGCTATGTTATTTTACAAAGTTATTTTTATTTTTATGCTAAACTTTCTAATCAAATTTGTTTACACTTAGCTTTGTACTCATTTAAAAAAAAAATTTTTTAAACGATGAATGTAATTTTTTAAAAACATTTTGTATTCTTAATTTTATAAACAACAACGACACTAAATGCATTTCAATAAACTTTTAAAAAAAAATACTTTTTGATAGTTCAGATAAAACTAGTTTTTTATTAAATAATTAGATGTTTTTAAGCTGATAATTAGATGTTAGATTTTTTTTAAAAAGAATTCGCCTAATATAAAAACATTATAAAAGATTAAAGTTTTATAGTTTGTCTTGTTAGTTTGAAAAGGTTATGACTGTATTAGAAGAATTTAAAAAAAAATCTTTTAATTTTTCAGCGTTTAATTAAATTTATTTATATTATTACTTTTTTATTTGTTTATGTATTCTTTTTTTTGAATGATATATAAAAATACATAAATAAAAAATAATCATATAAATATTTTTATTTAGACATTTAAAAAAAAGATTTATTCGCTATTCTCCTAATATAGAAAAAATCAGAAACTCGTCAAACCAACACGATGAGTTCAACATTAACCTAATTACAAAACATTATTAAAAATAATTTTCTATTAGAGTTTTAGTTTTTCAGATTTATAATAATTGATTTTTTTTTTTGAGCTATAAGTTTTAATTTTTTTTTTAATTTTTCTTTCATTAAGATTTATTTTTTATAAAGTTTAGCTTGTTTATAAATTTTTTCCTTTGTCAGTGCATTTTTAATTATCTAAAGAGCTGTGGTCAAACTTTTGAAAAAAACAATTACATGCATGGTCAAGATTGGAGTGCGATCACAGGCCATTCCTGTTCATGACTGATATATATATATATATATATATATATATATATATATATATATATATATATATATATATATATATATATATATATATATATATATATATATATATAAATTAGTAAAAAATCATTAAAAAAATAATTTTTACAATTGAAAACTGTGTTTCATCAATCAAGACTAGAGGTCAAAGCCGCTGCTATTAGCAAGAAGCCGCTGCCACTTGTACCTACTTTTTACAGCTGCCACTTTGCGTTATTAGCAACTACTAAGCCGCCAATCGAACAATATATTCAGCCGCAGCCGATTTCAAAGTCACTATTGTTGGCTGGAAGAAAAAAAAGAAGTGTTTAATAACCCAAAGTTCTCTTGTATAACTTAAAAGCAGCAAGTTATTTGGAGCATCTTTTTTTGTGTGTGCAGCTTTTTGATTTGCTATTTAAATTTTCTCTAAGATGAAATAGTAACAACACACTCCTCCTTTATATAAGTACATCAACATCTGCCACTTGTTTCATATTTTAAATATTCTTGGCTTATAATGATTTTTTACCGCTCTAACATTTTTCAACTTAAATTAGCCGAATTAAACACAGAGTTTTACTATTACTTAGTAATGGATCATAAAGAATCTCGAATTTCACATAACAGTTCTTTAAAATACTTGAACATCATACTGTGCAGCTCATTTAAAAAAAACAACCATAGATTCATTATTAGTATGGAAATACTATGGTCAAATATTGACACAAAATTGTAAAGTTATCGACAATGAACATTGTTACTGAAGCGAATGTTTTTTGATAGAAAAAAAAAAGTCGTGTCCTCAGGTGCAGGTCATTTATTGAAAATTCACAAGGTTAGGATTTCCACATCAAGCAGTAATTTGAAAAATCATCTATTTCTTGTTCACAAAGTAGTAACAGACAAACCTGCTGTTGAAGTGAAAAATGATCAAATTTTACGTAGATGGTGCAGTAGCTCTATAGCTAGTTCATCAAAATATAATATAAGTCGTGATCTTGTCCTTTGGTTTTCTACAGATCTACTACCATTTTCTCATGTTGATAATGAAGGGTTTAAAAAGTTTTTTGAAAAAAACATTGGGTTAAAACTTCCAACAGGTTCTGCTGTGAGTCAAGTAGCATTACCTGATATGTACAAATCTTTAAGGCGATCAGTATTGAAAAGTTTAAAAGATATTGATGCAGCAACAATTTCATTTGATGGTTGGACTGACAAGTACAAAAAAATTAATTATATGGGTCTAAAGTGTTCCATTATTAATGAAAACTAGCATAAAAAAATTTTTACCTTGGCTTGTTTGCCTTTAGAAAGTCATACAGGTGAAAACTGTCATAATTTTATCAAAGACATTGTTCAAGAATTTTTTCAGAGGGGTTGTAGAGATATGAGGCTACATACTGTGCACGACGCTGCAGTGAATATGATGAAAACATCTAAACTTTTAGGCTCAAAGGATCCACAACATTGTCTGGCTCATATCTTGCATTTGATATTGACATGTGATGGCATAAATAGTTGTACTGAAACAAAATGTTTGTTAGAAAAATGCACACAAATTGTAACCTGCCTGAAAGTCAACTTTACTTTTAGAGGAATCACATTGTAAAGCAGACATAAAATTATACAACAATCTTCGAATCCTTGCTGAAGTGAAAGACATTGATGATTTAGAGCAGCAATTTCCCATTCAAATTTATGATGAAGCAAACATGATTGAAGCAAACAATTTAGATATTGCTTGTAAAGAAAAATTTGATGATAATTTCATAAAAAGACACCATAGAAGTCTGAAACAGCAAATACCCACAAGATGGAACAGTGCTCTCTTTATGATAGAATCAATTAACCAATTATTAGATCCTGTAGAAATTTTACTCAAGAAATGTGGTAGACAAGACCTTTGTTTAGATAATGAAGAACAAGCCTTGATTTCAGAATTGGTTAAATTTTTAAAACCATTTGAATCATTAGCCCATGTGGTCAGTGCTGGAAATTCGCTTTCTATTTTGCCATTAGTTAAACACAAAATACTAAAACTACTTTCAATTAATTCTTGTGATTTGAATAAAATAAAAAAGCTAAAGTAATGTTGCTCTAAAAAAATAGACCGAAGACTTAAGTTATCAACTTCTGCAAAACTATGCCATTTTTTAGATCCAGCCACAAAAATTTTATATACAAGAGATGAAATAAAGGAAAGTTTGTTGGAGAATGCATTAAACATAAAAGTGACCCAATTAGATTTAATTCAAGGTATTATATGTCTATACAACTAATAACATCAATAAAATAAGTTTTTGTTTTGGAAAAAAGTTACTGAAACACAAATAAATTTTATTAAAAATTAATTTTTTTATATTAATTGTGGAAAACAGAATAGTTATTAAATCAGTATCAGAAGTTATTATTTTATTAAATTATTAAGTTCTTCAAGTATCATTTGTTTATTATTGATATCGGTTTTTATTAAGCTGATTTATCTGGTTCTAGTTATATCAGAGTCAGAAAATGATAAAGATTCAAAATCAGGTCCTAGTGCTAAGCGACAACTACTTCAAGAGATGAAGAAAAGTGTTACTTCTGCAGAAAAAAATTATCAAATTGATTCGGAAGTAGAGCAATTTATATCTCATATACCTACGACAGATGAAGAACTGGATTGTTTATTGTTTTGGCGAAATCATCATGCAAAGTATCCACACTTAGCAGTGCTTGCAAAAGAGTATTTTAGCATACCAACCTCGAGTGTATCAGTGAAATCCGTGTTTTCATTAACTGGATTGATTTTGAACTCAAGAAGAAGCAATCTAAGTTCTTCCAATATGACAATATCAGTCTTATTTGATTTTTAACTTTAATTGAAAAAAAATAATTTAAACTTAAATTTGTTTTCTTTTTGTCGAAAACGATACTAATTATAATTCAGAGCAATTTGCACACCCAGAAGCCAGCAACTTTGTTGGTCAGCCAGTATCAGCTAGTTGGCCAAGTTGCTCAGCTTTTAGCCACTTGCTAAAACTGTCAGCCAGCAAGTGATATGTTCTAAGCACGGCTTTAAACTCTAATCAAGACTCATCAGAAATTAAAAATTTCTGATGAATATATATATATATATATATATATATATATATATATATATATATATATATATATATATATATCAAAAAGCTATAACCACGAATTGAAAAGCCAAATGTGGACCTAAAATTTACCAGAAAAAAGTCAACCTTAAAGCAAACATTTACTCAAATTAAAGCTGCAAAACACTATATGTTATTACTTATAGTTTTATAAATTTTTTTTACACAGACACATGCATGCTTATAAAATAAAAACCAAAATAAATAAATATATAAATATATTACTTTATGTCAGCATGCTTTCTTTGCTGTGCCTCAAACATTTGTTGTAATAGTTCACAATGCCCTCTCCAAGCATCTGTTCCATACTGAGATAGTAAATCCAAATTTGCTACTCTAAATATAGTAAAGCATTATCCCATCATGATCCTCTGGTCATGACATTAAACTGACCTTATATTCAGTCCCTAATATAACTATGCATATGGGAAGAAAATATTGTAAACTTTGGTTGGTCTCCTTGTGGTAGTACCACAATTAAAATACTCAGTCCTGATCTCAAAAACAGCTTAATGCCAGGAAAAAAAAAAAAATGTATATATATATCTATATCAACTAAAAAGTTTATCATGTCATACTATAGAAATAGAAAATAACAAAAAAATTGGTTAAAAAGATACGCAAAATGTATAAAAAATAGTAGCTAAACAGAAAGTGTCATTTGTACATGGTTAACCTGTTTATTCATACCAGGTTTTAGCCATTCTATGAACATACTTTCTTTATGCTATAACTCGAATTTGTTAGATGCTGAATCTAAAACAGAAAAACACTTATCACTTATTTGCATGAAACAATTTTTATTAGCATGGAGATGTTTATAGACGAGACTTTTTATCCCTCTTGTAATGTTCAGATATCCAGGTCTTACAAGCTTTCTGATGATGAATTGGACATCCTTAAAAATGGTTTACAGTTAACCAAACCAAAAAATTTTGAAGTTGTATTTTTCTATTCATGGTAACATCTTTCTTAAGTTGTTTGAATTTTGTTTTATCATTGATAATTTTATAAATACCATTTACTTACATTTCTTTATTTAATATGACAATGCCATTACCTTTATCAGGTTTTAAAATAATAATATCTGGATTACTATAAAGTTTTTTCAGTATTTCATGTTTTTTTTAGAGTTTCATGATAAGGAAGATAATTATAAATATAAGAGTTTGCAAGACAGGAAAGCTCTGCTTTAAGTTTTCCTGAGTCTTGATTATTTTTCAATTTTGTTTGAAGAAGGCAGTTAATTTGTTTGAATGAAAAAAAGATACCAGTACGTCTAAGATATTTTGTCTAATCAAATGCTTAATCAATAGAACATTAAAAATTAATAGTACTAAACTTGGGTTTCACTCTGACATAAACAACCTCTTTAAAGTATTTCAAAGAAACATGTCCCCATCTTGGCTCATTTCAAAAATGTATAACTCCTATTTAAACAAGATTAATTCAAATAGTCCACCACAAACAAAAATCAAAGAACCTTTGTCTTATTTTAAAATGCCATTTTTGAGAAAAAAATCTGATTTAACTAAAAAAAGACTGAATTCAATTGCTAAAGGATATTGCTGTTCAGCAAATATTAAATTAATATTTACCACACTGAAAATTGATAAATTCTTTTCTTCTCCTATTCCTCTAGAGTTCAAACTGTTTGTGGTGTATAAACTTGTATGTAACTCCTGTTATATAGGCGAAACTACTCACTATCTAAAGACCTTGATATTTGAACATTACAAGAGAGATAAAAAGTCTCATCTATAAACATTTCCATGCTAATGAAAATTGTTTCATGCAAATAAGTGATAAGTGTTTTTCTGTTTTAGATTTGAAATCTAACAAATTCGAGTCAAAACTTAAAGAAAGTATGTTCATAGAATGGCTAAAACTTGGTATGAATAAACAGGTTAACCATGTACAAATGACACTTTCTGTTTAGTTGATAAACTTTTTAATGACATGATAAACTTTTTAATTGATTTTACTGTATTTTTGTAATTATATTATTATTAGTTTGTACTAGAATACGTATATTTTATACATTTTTTTTTAAACACCTTTATAGGTATTTTATCAAATTTTAAATATATAATTTTAACTAAAGATGACTAGTGTTAGTCTAAACATGTATTGTTTTTTATTAATAAAATGATTTTACAAATTAAAATATTTGTCTCGTTTATGAAAAAAAATATGTATATAAATATAATATATAATATAATATATATATATATATATATATATATATATATATATATATATATATATATATATATATATATATATATATATATATATATATATATATATTTATATATATATATATATATATATGACCGCAATAAATATATATATATATATATATATATTTATATATATATATATATATATATATATATATATATATATATATATATATATATATATATATATATATATATATATATATATATATATATATATATATATATATATATATGACCGCAAGCAACACTAGTGTGGCTTGCAGTCAAATAAAAAAATGCTTGCAGTCAAAAATAAAAAAGTGGCTGGGAGTTTTTTACAGAACACAAAAAAAAAATAATTTAATACTAGTGCACTAGAATTAAAGAATTTTATTTGTGTTCTGTAAAAAACTCCCAGCCACCTATTTATTAAGACACCATTGTTTATTAGATCTGAATAAAAAATTCCCACCTCACCTTTTGTTATTGCGAGACTATAAAAGATAAATAAAGTAAAACACAATAGTTACTGTATAGGTAATAACAATTTTATTGCTGCAGATCTTTTTGCATGTTTTATATTAGAACTACGGTTATGTTACTGCTAATACATTATGGTACTGTTAATACACTGCGTAGGTTTGTGCAATGTATGAAAAGTGTTCTTTAGTAGTCAAAGCTTCAGTTATCAAAACTTATTTTGAAATGTGTTATTGTGAAATGTGTTACTGTGAAATGTGTTACTGTGAAATGTGTTATTATGAAATGTGATTTAGTATTTTTTGTTGTTTCTAGATAAGTATTTACAATTAGGACAGTTCAATTATAACAGAAGTTTGTCACATCTTTTAACTATTTCTTTTTATAATTTTGACTGTTACTATTTTGGAATACTTTTTGAAATTTTAATTTTGAATTCAAATTTAAATTTAATTTAAACCTAGAATATAAAAGAAATAATAAAAAGACCAATAATAAAGTCAACATATGTGCGTTTGCAACTGTTTAATTAACTCAAGAATTACCTTTCTCCTTGGTGTTCTAATTGAGCCATTGAGTTTTTTAAAGCTTCAACCCAAGCAGATAAATCATTCTTTTGACTGGCAGTAGGGGGAGGAAGCTCATACCTACAAAACACTATCAACTTAAAATTATGATGAGACAAAATCAAAGATAATTTAAGTAAAAATCTTTAAAGTTCAAAGTGATATGTGCAGTGCTGTAGGTGAAAGTATATAAGAAAAAATTATGGTATTCTGAAAGATTCAAAATAATGTTATAGATGTGATGGTTAGAAAGTGAAGTTGTATCAGGGTTCCCACTATTAAAATTGACACTAAAAGTAAGGATTTTAAGGACATTTAAGGAGATATTATCATAATATTTAAGGAGATTTGATTGCAAAGTAAGGAGAATTAAGGAGAAAACTTATACATTAAAAACAGAATCTAATTTTTTTCAAAAAATTATAAATATAAACAGAAATTATTATAAATTAATATATTACTTTATATATATATATATATATATATATATATATATATATATATATATATATACAATAATAATAATAATAATTATTATTATTATAATAATAATAACACTGGCCAACAAAGATTTTGCGGCAAAACATTTGGGGGTCATTTTATAGGTAACTTGTTGCCCTGATTCCAAATATGACCTCCGTTTTCCTAGATTGGCTCTAGTTTTTGAGATACAGGGTGGTCACGAAAGTACATTAATAGCAACAATTTATGTTAGGTTGTAGCGTAATTCACAAAAAAAACACTAGATATATATATCAAATTGTTTATGGGGAAGTACATACAATGCTAATAGATCAAAACATTCAAATCAGTACAATGAAATCACAATTAATGCATTAAAAATCGGTGTCTGTATGATTGTCTTTTGTGTGGAGAATGTGGACAATCACGTTGAAGGCTCCAACAATAGTCAGCCATCATGTGTGTATCCAATCTTCCTAGGTATCTTTCTTCCATTACCTTGATATCTTGATGGAACCTCTCCCCTTGTTCCTCACTATAACTTCCTAGATTATCGGGAAACCGATCTAAGTGACTATGTAGAAAGTGAACTTTTATGCTCATATTAGCTTTCAATGTTTTGAAGTCTGAAAGCATTTTCTGTACGATTTCTTCATAGTTGGGAGATTTATGGTTGCCCAAAAAGTTATGAACAACCAAGACAAAACTTTTCCAGGCAGATGCTTCAATATCTGTCATTGTATATAGGAACTGCTCATCCTTGATGATTTGGCGAATTTGAGGGCCGCTAAAGATTCCAGCTTTGATTTTCTCCATACTCAAGCCTGGAAAAAATCTGTAAATATATTTGAAACATTGACCATCTTTGTCTAGGGCTCTTACAAATTGCTTCATCATTCCTAGTTTCATGTGGAGTGGTGGGAAAATAATTTTTCCCCTGTCTACCAGTGGTTTGTTAATGATATTTGATGCACCTACTGTCATATTTTCCCTAGCAGGCCATACCATCTTTTTCCAGTGGTCTTCTTTAGCCCTACTATCCCACAAACATATGAAGCAAGGGTATTTAGTATATCCACTTTGCTGCCCTAGTAAGAAGTTTACCATCTTTAAATCAACACATATAGACCACTGGTGCTCATTGTATCTAAGCTTCTGCAACATCATTCTTATATTTTCATATTCCTCTTTCAGTTTTGTTGAGTGAAGTATTGGGATGGATGCATAACTATTGCTATTGTGCAATAAAACACACTTCAAACTTCTCATCGAACTATCTATAAACAATCGCCAATCTTCTGGTCGGTATTTAGGTAACCCCATTTGGAGGAGGAGTCCAGGGATGTTCCAACAGTATACTATTTTTTCTTCTTGAATGAAATATGGAAGAAGTGCTGCCTCTCTTGTCCGAAAAAAAGTTATTTTACATTCGGCCTTCAAACTGTTCTTTTCACTTAGTCTAGATGCTAAAAGCTCAGAATCTTGCTTGGATAGACTTAAGTCTCGTACTAAATCATTGATCTCTTCCTGGGAGAACTGTTGCTGTTTAGAAGTACTGTCTTCATATTCACTACCACTATCTGCATGTTTGCACACCAAATTCTGCATATCTTCTTCATCAGACACTGTTAGATCTGGGAGTGCAGTGAACACTGGAATGGGGACATCGTCTGAGTGTGGTACAGGTCGCCTTGCTGATTCCAAATCCGGATACTCAAATTTACGTTTCTTGAAACGATTGATACCTTTCACATTAACCAAACAAAAATAACAGTCACTGTCGTGATTCTTTTGCTCCCGCCATACCATAGGCACACCAAATTTTAAACCTTTTCTTTGTCCATTTTTCCACTGACGTAGATTTTCGACACACGTTTTACATACAATATGGGGAGCCCAAGACTTATCTTGGTCTCCGAGTTTCATTCCAAAGTATGCCAGATATGCTTGCTTCACAAAGTTAGTAATATTTCTTCTTTGGCTCTCCTGGCAATATTCACCACAGATGTGGCAGAATGCATTGGGGTTATTCAAACATCCTCTTCGTGAAGAACTCATTGTGTTCTAAAAACAGGAAAAAGTATATATATATATATATATATATATATATATATATATATATATATATATATATATATATATAAAGGTATGCCCTATAAAAAGAAATAAAACTATTTTACTGTAAAATATGCATGAACGAAGATATTTGTATAAGAATATATCTGGAACACCCTGTATCTCAAGAACTAGAGCCAATCGTGGAAAACTAATGTCATTTCTGAAATCAGCACACCGGATATACTATAAATTCATAAAAATATCCTCGGCAGCAAAAAAAAAATTTTTTTTGTTGGCCAGTGTAATAATAATAAAAATATAGGTTTGCAAACTATCAAAGAACTATATATTTTCTTCTTTATTAATTAGTATAACAAAGGTCAACAATTTATATTTTCTAAAAGCTCTATGAAAGTAAGCTTCTTTCGAGACCAAGGTTGACATACTTTTGAATATTTTTTTTTTTACAATACTTTGGGTTCAAATCTAAAGATTTGAAATATTTTTACAACTTTACGTGATGTGAAAAATGAGTTGCATATTTGAAATCAAAATGAGAAATGATATACAAAAAACAAATTGTTTGCTCGGCACCAGAATTTTTTTTTGTTGATCAGTGTTATCCATTCACCTTAATAAAATTTCCTTAATGATTAAAAAAAAAAGAATTAAGGAGAAATTAAGGGGAGCAGTCAAATTTTAACTTTTTTGAAGATCATTTAAGGACATTTAAGGAGGTTTTTATTTTTTAAGGATATTTAAGGTTTTTAAAGAGGAGTGGGAACCCTGTGTATATAGATGGTTAGAAAAAAGAAATGTCTAGCAAAAAGCATAGTAGATATTGTATAATAAAATACTAATATAATACTGCATAATATAATAAGTATATAATAAGTATATTTTGACTGGGGCACAAGGTTTTATAAAATAAAACAAGAGAAGGTGATCATCATCATCATCATCATCACCACCACCATCATCATCATCATCATCATCATCATCATCATCATCATCATCATCACCATCATCATCATCATAACCAAGTTTTTAAAATTTTTTCCTACACCTTTTTTTTCTGAAAAAAGAAATGCTGATAATCAGTCAACTATATTGTTATGCTCTCTGTGTACACCTATTTTTACCTGATCTTTCCTGGCAAATCCTATCAGATACAGCAACTATTTCAAATTTCAATCTAAGGTGAATAATTAAGTTCCTATCCTTTAGACAATCTGATAATTATTGTCTTTTTAAAATAATCAAAATAATAAACTTTTAATTTAATTGATTTTGTTACAAATGCTGTATATCATTAATATTTTTATTGTTTGTTAAATCTTTTTCTATTGCATTGAAACCAATGCATAACACATTGAATTTTAATTTGGTTTTTCTTTAATTTTTAACAATACATCTCTTGATGTTAAAAGTAAAGAAATACTATCATGATCTTAACATATTATACTCTTGCAGTTGATGCATCCACTGGCCCAAATAAATAAATAACCAAATACTAAAGTTTTGAATTCACTACCAGACCTCCTAATAAAGTGAAAGTTTTTAAGATTACAGTCATTAAATTCTTTTTATTTGTAAATTCAAGTATTTTATGAAAAACTTTTGATAAAAATATTTTTTATTTACTTCTAAGACAATTAAATGCTGTTAAAACCTAACAAAAAATTTTTAACACAGGTTAATAACCCCTAATATTTAAATAGGATCAAGTGACAGCCAAATGACAACATAACAGTTTTAATAAATAAAATTTAATTGCCACTTTTAAAAAAATTTTAATTAAAAAAAAATTCAAAAAATACCTCTTCATGCTGAGAAGTTCCATTGGCAGACGATTACTAATTCTTTCAAACTCATGTTTTATGATTTTTGTCTAGACATAAAACATAACTGATTTACCATTTTTTATATTTTTTATATAAAAAATAATAATCAGTAAAATAAATTATATGTTATAACTAATTTATATTTATAATCTCTCTCTCTCTCTCTCTCTCTCTCTCTCTCTCTCTCTCTCTCTCTCTCTCTCTCTCTCTCTATATATATATATATATATATATATATATATATATATATATATATATTATTCCTTCTCATTAGTCTTAAGTCAGCCTTATTCTATCCAATGGTTTTTTTACACTTCAGAAAAATCATCTTTTTATCATTGCAAGAATTTGATACTAAAAGGTCTGGTACTAAGATTCATTAATCTTACAAAAGCATTTAATCTCAGAAGTTCTACAGACTTTTGGAAAGACTTTAACAACTTAAAAAAGCAGGTTAATCCCCTCCAAACATCCAAATAACTCCTGCTACTACAGGTTAATAAACATTCAAATAACTTTTGCTTAAATATGGAGCTTTCTTCATATGGTGTATCTAGAAAAGTTTTTAAAACTGTTGAATTATTTATTTTTAACTACAGTATTTAAGTTGTCCTTAACAGAACACTTCGCTTCCTTGAAGAAATTCACTTGTAATAAATCTATTTCAAGCAAAAATAAAATATTCAAAACTGTTTAAAACTAATTTGAATACACTATTTTGAATATTTTTTTAAAGAACTCTTTAAATAACTTAGTTATATAATTTTAAATTAAAATTGTCTTTTTTCAGCAAAAAAAAAAAACAAACAAAAAATAAAACAAAATAAAAACTAAAAAACTAAGTTATTTCAAAAGCAGTTCCTTGCCTTTTAATGTCATTTACTTAAAAAAAAAATTTAACATTTCTTCCATTGAAATATAAAATTTAATTAAGGCAAGTTCTTTTTTTATTTACATGATTTAAAAAAACTAGAATAGTGATAATTTTTTTTTGAAAAACTTCGAATATTTTCTTTTTTTACCAACAAACTGAAAAACTTTGAATAGAGAAAAACAAAAAATAAAAACAAATTGAAGAAGAACTTTAACAACTGATTGAAGCTGACAGAGAAGTAAAACTAAATAACTTATTTATCATATAAATATCATTCAGCATTATAAAGAAATACTTTAAAGAATAAAAATTAAAAAAAAAAATACTTTTAAACTTGTTTATTTACTTTACTTTGATTTATTTTAAGCCTTAAAACACAGCCTTAAAACTCAAAAAAAAATCCGAGAAAAATTTATATGTTTTCCTCTTACCTGAAAGGACAAATACAGGAATGTTAATGAAATACAGGAGTGTTACAAAACTGGTTTTAGATTGCATTTAATTGCAAAGTATCTGCTAAGATACTTTGCAATTAATTGAATAAATGGATTTTATGAGAGGTCAATAGTGATTATCCAAGAAAGTATAACAACTAAGTAAAAGTTTTGTCATTTATCAATATATCCTTGAATTTTTCAGGAGCCCTTGAGTTTACTACAGCTTTTCCCTGTTTCTGACTCCATACTGCACTCTCCCTCAATTATATTATGAACTTTAGTAAGAAAAACATAGATTGTAATTATTCATGTTGAAAGATGTTGGTAATCAGTTCATTGTGTTATCTTTATTGTCACCAACTATTTATTTTTGTGCCTATCTAATATCTTTATAGCCTATCTAATTATAACCTCTAAAATGCTCCTATTATTTTTTTTTCAAGACTAGAGTATATAGTTGTATCACTAGAAAGAGAAAAAAAGAGACTCATAATATAATATTAGAAGTATGCTAATCAAATACTCCAAGACCTTACTAATAATAGTAAAAAAACTGATTCCAATATCTTACTATTAGTAATAGTAAAAAAATTGATTCCATGGCCTTACTAATAGTAGTAAAAAGACTGGTTCCAAGAACACTTTACTTTTACATTTTCTTTCTTAATTACTTAATTTATAATAAAATAAATAATTTTTAGCTTTGTTGCTAGGCTTCAGCAGCTGTGTTACAAAGTTATTAAAAACACCATGTAAAAATTAATTAAAAAGAGCTTGAATTAATCACACTCTACATGAGACCCTTTACCAATTTGCTTATTGTTTATATACCAATTTGATTATTGTTAATAATGGTTATGGTCTTGGTATCTGAGGAAGATCTTGAAGTGAATAAAATAGATATACATTATAAAAAGTACCAAAACCAAAATTTTGGTATCAGTTCGAATTGAAATTTTAGCTGAAATCGAAACAGAATTTCAGTTAATCACTATACACCATACTATTTACGTTTTCTCTTTAAGAAGACATCTCAATTAAAATAGATAATAGAAATATCCATTAACATCCTCTAAAGTTATGCAGAGAATGAAAAAAAAAAAAAGTTCAAATGAGCACATATCAGATCTTATTATATTTTAAAAACAAAAAATTGATTCTGATGTTTAAAATCTTATGATATTATGTTTGTTGATATTCAGTTTTATTTTCAAATAAATCTTGATTTAATTTAAAAATTTTTTTTAATCAAAAACTTATAAATAAATTACATAGCATTTAATACATGTTTTTTTTTTTAATAAGCATAACATTTATAAGCATATGGAGGCTCAAATTTGGAAAAAAAATAAGCATATGTAAGCATATTCCTGAGCCTCGATAAACCATTTAAAAAATTCAAATTTTATTTATTCTATTATTTCATTTATTTCAAATTTTATTTATTTTATTATTTCATTGATAACATTTGTATATAGTATATATTTTTTATTATACTGTACTAAAGTCGACTTTAATAACCTTTAGTAACGCACATATTTTTAAAAAGTATTGAAATAAGCATATTTTATTATAAATATGCTTAAGTTTAAGCATATTTTTGAGCCTCTTTTAACTTTTTGCAAAAAGCATACCCGAACCTGTTTCAAAAATTTCATATGCTTATAAAAAAAAATGTACATCATTTAATTTACAGAAATGTTTTTGAACTTTAATTAAAAACCAAAACCAAATTCAAAAAAGCTAAACTTAACTCAACTGTTAAAATTTCTTAGGTTTAAATTTTATAAACATTCTAGTCATCATCTTATATTTTTCCTATCTTCTAATATTTTTAAAAGGTAAATAAGTTTTTTTAAATTGCTCAAATTTGGTAATTTCCCATAAACATAACTCCATGTTAAAAAAAAAATTGTATTTGGTTATAGTTTATGTTAAGTTTCTATATTCAGAAATTAATTTCTTTAACTACATAATGTCAAAAAAACCTTTGCATTTGTCTGTGTTTAATAGCATTTTAAATAACCTCACTTTCAACAAGGCTGCAAACAACCACAATTAGAGTTAGAAGTTACTGGAAGAGAAAAGATGAAGTTTTAATTATATGAATCAGAAAAACAAGATAAAGGGAGCGATTTCCAAAGAACTGATGTTCAAGGAAAAAACTTGACAAAAAAGAACTTTTTGGAACACTTATAAACAATCACAGTAAAGGAATGAGATTTAGTTAAAAAACAAATAACACGATAATGAATTTTAGTAGATGGCACAAGAGACGCTAGCTCTTTATAGCAGTGTCTTGTAAACTGCTACACTGTTTACAAATTGTAAATAGTGTAGCAGTTTACAATTTGTTTTTGCACCTTGCCTTAAAGACAAAGGGCATCATTTGAAGATCTACTTCAGATATGCCAACAGTATTCCATACAAGGATGATTTAAGATTTATAAAGATAAAGAATAAAATCAGGAGTAAGAGGGCAGCAAGCAAAATAAAGAGATACAACCATAACAAATGCTAATTTTGCAATGGATTTGATACATGGTATAAAGAAAGATCAGTAGTAAGAGCTAATACAACAACTTTTGAAAACTTGAAGTTTTGATTAAAATGATTGTTGCAATAACGATTAGCTAAAAAAATTGAGCTTAATTGATCTGAGTTAAAGTTGCTAATGTAATCCCCATGCTAAAGCAGAAGTGAAATCCTTTTCAAGCTTAAATGCCCCCTCCAAGCAATCAGAGAGTGTTGGCTTTTATTTAAGACAAGAATAAATGGTACTATCATCAATAAACAATGCAATCTTAGATATGAGAATTTCTAAGAGATCATTATCTAAATTTAGATATGAGAATTTCTAGGAGATCATTATCTAAATAAAAAAAAATATAGGGTCTAAGATAGAACCTTGAGGAATCCTTGAAGTTACAGTAAATAAAAAAGAGTCTCGTCCATCAAGGACAACTTTTATACTATGATTGGTAAGGATGGATTCAATAATCTTAAAGATGTTACCTGATACACCATAAAAAGAAAGTTTATGGAGAAAACTGGCGTGCTAAAGTTTATCAAAGGCTTTAGAAATGTTAAGAGCAATAGCCTTAACCTCTTTATAACTATCATGTGCACAATAAAACCTATCAGTTATTACCATTAACATATCAGCAGTAGAACAAGAAGATCAAGATCCATATTGATGATTAAAAAAATGTTATTAGATTTAAGATAATGGATTAAGTATTTGTTAATTAAAGACTCAAAAACTTTGCTTATGACAGGAAGAATATATTAACTAATATTTTAACTATTTTATATATATATATATATATATATATATATATATATATATATATATATATATATATATATATATATATATATATATATATATCAGGCTTTCCCAGGAAAGGTGTGCGGTCGCACGCATAGAATAAATTTTTCAGAAAACGTGACCGCGGCAATATTTCCTGGGAAAGCGGAAATTAGACATTAACGCTAGACAAATTTGGTTTCTTTTTTATTTAATTTAGTTTTTACAAAGGTTTATGCAAAGGCGATGACTTTATTCCCTAATTCTTAGACAAGAAAATAAACTGCTGTTTTAATTATTAAATATATTATTTGAGATTTCGAACACAACAAAATTTTAATGTGAAAAAATTTCTCTCTTGACTTATTCTAAACTGTTTATTTTGAGTAAATGCTCGCCTTTTATTACGTTGAAATTATTCAATTG